AACAACAACAACAACAACAATTGTATATTTAATATTCTTTGCCGACATGAAAATTCAAGTTCATTCATTCTTCCTTAGTTTTTCTTATTCATTGTCCAGCTTTTGAGGCAATTGAAAATACCATGGGTTGGGTGACTTGATGCATTGATAAAATAACATTGGCAATGAACTCCAACATAACAACAATTGTGAGGACGGCACAGGATCAGTCACTGTTTCAGTGTGTTCTGAATAGGGTTATTATAACCTGCTTGATGGCACCTAACAGTAACAACAAGACTAAGACAAATGTATTACGGACAGAAGTTGTCTGTCGCCATCCATTGGTTATAGACAAATGTTTAAACACAACTTTAGTTGTTGTTTAAATAAGCCTATGCACGTTTGAACTGGGACCTTATAGTAACGCTACTTCTGTAGTCTTATTTTCATTCCTTTCTTACAACTGGAACCACTGTTGTGTATCTTTCTAAATCAGCACATAAGCAGCCCTGGTTAATCAGTACATAAGATACGATGGTTATGAGCTTGCTGCTGACTGAAAAGTTAGTAGTTCAAACACACCGGTAACTCTGTGGGAGAAAAGACCATGTGATGTGCTCCCAGAAAGATTACCGTCTAGGAAACTCTATGGGGCAGTTCTATTCTGTCCTACAAGGTCATTCTCAGTTAGAATCGACTTGACCCACACGAGTCAGCACATGAAGCACTTCCTCATTTTTCACACAACTGTCCAAAGAACCTTAGTGCACAGTGGTTAAGGCACTTGCCTGCTAACTGAAAGATCAGAAGTTCAAACCTACTAGACACTGTGAAGGAGTGTTTGCAGAAACAGTTGGTTTCTTGTAAAGATCACAGCCTTGGAAACCCTGAGGGGCAGGTCTATTCTGTCCTTTAGGGTCTCTATGAGTTGGAATCTATTCTATGACAAGGAGTTGGGGTCCATTGTGTTAGTTTGCTGTGTTTATCCCCTTAACTTTAGCATTGGCTTTGTCGAGGAGTTGCAAACCTTTGTTGAGGTTTGAACTATTCTTGCTGAAAATATCATTTTAATATTAATAATGCTATTAATATTATTATTGCTTCTTCACTTATTTTTAGAGCTCTGACATCATCAATTTCCTAGCATTCTAATTGCATTGCTAACTGAGCTCACATAATGAAGGGATACCAGGAGGCCTTTCCTCTTTCCTCTGTTGTCTTCTCACCTAATGCACACCTGGGCTCCTGTACTTCCTGGGTGTCCCACGGGGCAGCAGATCACACCTGTTCATCCAGGTGATTAAAAACAGACACAGAAGCACCTGTATGTGAGTCTCTTGTCACTGGTAATTTTTGTCTTCTCAGGGACCAGGTTGCTAGGGTAGCACCCGAGGTATAAATACATAAGAGTCTAATTGTAAACACCTGTTGACAGAGCTGCACGTTGTCTGAACAGGTACAAAGTTGCTCTTTTCTTCCTCATTTTGCTTTCTCTTTTAAAAATTTGTGTTTTAAGATGACTCTGTAATTGTCTGTTAACTCATGAGCACACTGAACCTGTTATATCTTGGGAAAGTAGGGATGGGGAAGAGAAAAAAGTCACCTGTAAGGGTTTCATTTGCAGTTTTTCCTGGTGTGGGTAGAACTCTTTCTTTAACTTAAGTTTATTATAGTCTATACTAGTCCTTCCATGGGAGAAAGATGAGGCTTTCTGCTCCTGTAAAGATTTACAGATTCTGAAACCCTATACAGGGTCACTATAAGTGGGAACCGACTCCACAGCACACTACCACCACTATTATAGTCTAATCACTATCACTTGCATAGTGGTGTGCCTCAGGGGATGGATGGTATGATTCTGTGTTAATGAAAATGTTGATGTTTCTTCATTTGCTTAGTTTGAACAAGTGCTTTCTCCCTACATTTGGTGGTGGTGTGCTGCCCTTATGCCAACGCAGCTGGAAGTTGCCATGGATAGCATGATTAGAATCTTCCATCAGTACTCGTGCAAGGAAGGGGATAAATTTAAGCTCAGCAAAGGGGAACTGAAAATGCTCATGCAGCAAGAGCTCACGGATTTCCTCTCGGTGAGTCACGGTTTTTCTGCCTCAAGTCAGAACAAGGCAGCTGAGGTACGGCTTCAGAGACTCAGTTCTATACATAATTTCTTATGATTTGGGCACTTTAGAACAGAATGATTTATGTTGAGGATCAAAGATCTATTGGTTCAAATGTTAAAAATTATATTTGAGGCTTTCTTCAATGCTCAACTTCAAGGACTGACTTTTCATACGTAGTCTCAGGATTCTGTCACAAGTATAACTTGCATTTCTTTTGAGGTTCAAAGTTCATGGGAAGCAAACACAAGAGACCTTTGCTTCCTGGACATTCTTGTAGAGTCATGTGCTGTCTGTTATATTGGTTAGGTTTTCCAAATACTAAAATTGATATTGATGCCTTCCATCAATGATTCAGTCTCACCGTGTGTCAATGACAGAGCTAGTTGTACCAACAGCTATGCCCAGATGTCTGCAAATTAATTTTATGTGTTGGATTAGAAATTAGGTCTAAGGTAGTTTATGCTGGGACATACTTTCTAGTGAATGACACATGCTTAGACAGTTTAGTCAGGCAAACAAAAGTTGATTGGGATCAATGGCAAAGATGTGTCTGGCATGCTACCCAGTGCAAAACCAGATTCACATCTTAAAATAGCAAAGGGCTCAAATTTATATATGAGCCTAACAGTGTAGGGTTTGGAGCCTCTGCTGAGGGAAACACTACACTGAGATGTTTACGGAGTTTCCTTGAATGGCTTTTAGCACCCTGTGTCATCTTGCATAATGTTATGCTCTCTAAACCTGGTATTAAGACCACAGTGATTTAATTATGATACTCTCACTCAACTCTCTATGGTAAAAGCTTAAAGTAAAACTTTAAAAAAAGATATAATAACTCTTCATGGTACCTTCTTAGTAATTTTAAAAGTCCCCAGGAAATTTGTGGGGTTTTTTGTTTTGTTTTGTTTTGTTTTTTTCCAAACTCAGGTGCCTATATCATATAACGTTCAGCATAAAAGGCTCAGTAGGTCAGACTTGGCCATTGATGTATTCAAGTTAAATTTATCCGTTTCCATCAAGTTGTAGCAGATCAATGAAATGTAACTTTCCAAGCATTTAATGGTTGGCAGCTAATGAGAGGGCAATGGGGAATTTCTGAAGGAAACGAGTTTTTGGAAGCATTACTCATCAACCACTAATCATAGGCGACGTGGGTGCTCACAGCTCCACCCTTTCTGAAGCCCATAAAATGTAGTCATCCTTATATGAGCTACAGTTTACTGAATGCAATAGCTAGGGTATGCTTATACTAAAGCTTTACTTATTGTTTATCTGAACTTCAAATTTAACTGATGGCCTCTGGTTTCAGTTGCTAGATCTAGCAATCCTAGTGCTAAGCACTTTTCAAAAGTTGTGTTGAAATATTCCCCAAACTTAAAGGTAGAGATTTTCATCTTTTTACAAAATAGGAAATTTTGAAAACAGAGGTTAAGTGATTTGCTGAAAGTCCCATTGGTGGTAGATGGTAGAGTGGTTCTTTTGGGCTCCAAAGCCTATCTCTTTCCACATTATCTGGCTGCCTGCCTCCCAGTAACCTGGTCCCCAACCCTCTGATGATGTGCAAATTCATTTTCAGCATCAGTAACTCATTTTGATCAACAGTTATTTGTTCTTCTTTGTCTTTAAATCTAAGCCAGGATTATATGGCACTGGGGAAGAGGCTAGACTCCTTTTAGAATATGTGCCTGGTCCCATACTACCAGCAAATAGACTCTTAGAAATTGTTGTTAGGTGCTCAAAATAGGGACAAAAATTGTAATGGACATAAAAAGGAGATGCGACTCCAACTGTTATCATGGGACTCAAAGCATGGGTCTTAGAGTTTTTCTTTTTTCTTTTAGTGTCAAAAGGATCCCCAGTTGGTTGATAAGATAATGCAAGACTTGGATGCCAATAAGGACAATGAAGTGGATTTTAATGAATTCGTGGTCATGGTGGCCGCTCTGACTGTTGCTTGTAACGATTACTTTGTAGAACAATTGAAGAAAAAAGGAAACTAAAGATAAGTAGTAAGCTAATATAAAGGCAATGCTATAAGCAAGTTATTTAATTCATCTATAGGTACTTTTCAGATTTATAGACCCAGTAATGTTATTTAATGACTTAGCATTGTTGTTGCTGTTGTTAAGTGCCGTCAAAGCAGTTCCAACTCATAGCGACTCTGTATAGGGTTTCCAAGGAGCGGCTGGTGCATTTGAAGTGCTGGCCTTGTGGTTTGTAGTCCAGTGCTGAGCCCACAGTAACACACCATGAGTCATATAATCTGTTGCTAGTGTTATTATATTATACATAAAATGATGTATACCTTAATATGTTGACTTCAAACAACTCTTTCAAATAAATCTTGTATTCCCTACTTGAAAAGTTCCTGTATTATTAAAAGTTATTATACTATGTTAATGCCTCCCTTTTCTTTCCATTGGAATGTGGATTTGAGGTTGGAAGTGGAACTGATCTTGTAACTATGACAATGATGGAGAAGGTAGAAGAAGCCTGGGACCTTGTTGCTACTGAGAAGCCACTGCACAGTCCTGGTATACCTGCCTCTGGTCCTCTGGTTACATGTGGGAGTTAATCACTCTCCTGTTGGTTTCTGTTACAGTAGTGGAACATAATCACTAACTTTAAAATCATCTGGTTAAGTAAGTCATGCAATTTTACTAAGACGAGAAAGACTGAGGGAGGGACAGTTATGTGTTATGGGGATTTGAGAGGAAAGCAATGGTTCTGTTTGAGATGCCTACTGAACATCCAAGTAGAGATAGCAAATATTGTTGTTAAGTGCTGTCAAGTGGTTCCAACTCATAGTGACTCTGTATAGGGGTCTTTTGAGGAGGAGCTGGTGAGTTTGAACTGCCAACTTTGTGGCTGGCAGTCCATTGCTGATCCTACAGGAGGCAGCTGATGTAGTCTAGATTCCAGTGTTTGGGACAGGCAATTGAGATTTAGGAGTCTTTATCATTATCATCTATATTGGAGTCCTGGTGTGGCGCTGTGGATGAATGTGCCAGACTACAAAGCCATTTGAACTGCAAGGTCAGTGGTTCAAGCTCACCAGCTGCTCCTTGGAAATCCTATACAGGGTCACTATGGGTCGGAATCGACTCGACGTCACTTGACAACAACAGCAACAACATCATCTATATCATTTTAGCCATGGAACTAGAGAGATCACTTAGAATGTGAAAGTGTTGTTGTTGTTAAGTGCCATCGAGTCGGTTCCAACCCACAGCCACCCTGTACAGGGTTTCCGAGGCTGTAAATCTTTACGGGAGCAGAAAGCCTCATCTTTCTCCCATGGAGCAGCTGGTAGTTTCGAACTGCTGACCTTAAAGTTTACAGCCTGATTCGTAACCACTACACTACCAGAGCTCCTTTGATGTGAAAGTAGAAAAGAAGAAAAATCCAAGAGTTAGTTCTCAATAAGAGGAGCCAGCAAATGATACTAGGTTAGAGTCAGGAGTGAGAAAGGAAATCAAGAAGGCCACTCTGCCCATATGGAGTTACCATGAGTCAGACAGTGACTGGTTTGGAGGTTTCTTTTTTTATTATTATTGATTTTTTAAAGCCTTTATTGTGTGTTGAGTGGTAGTTTACATAGGAGAACATCAGTTTTGCACTCATCCCATCATATTTCATATCATTACAATGATTACAATCCCCTCAGTGCATTACCATTCAACAGTATTTGCTTCCATTCCCTCTGTTTTTGTGGTTCTTGGGATTTTCTTTTCTTTCTTCTTTTTTTTTTGTTGATGTACACAACAACACTCAGGAATATATAATTATCCAAACAACCCAAGGGCACATTCTGCAAGCCTGCCTCCTGGCCACCAGCACTCAGCTTTTCTCTTTCCATGAGTCTAGAGTCCTCAGCTGCTCTATCTGTCCGTATCCTCATCTCTGCCTCCATCTCTGGTGGTGCTGCTTCTCTTGATAGGGTCCCACATTCCAATGCTCATCCTCTTTTCCCTTGATGGTCCTAGGGTCCCCTGTTCCTGAAATGTAAGATTAAATACTCCCCCCTTTTTGTTACAAAACATATGCCTTTACAGTTGTGACAATCACAATTAGTCATGGTAAGAATTATTCACTATTGAATCATGAAAATCCTATCCCCATATCCTTTCACCAGACCCCTCAAGACAAGATGAAAACTATTCAGGGTTTTTTATTTAATTAAAAAAAATTTTAATGGTGCTTCAGAAATCTAGAGAAGAAAGTTTTTGAAGAACTTTTTTTTTTTGAAGCTTGGAGTCTATTGAAAGGAAGACTAAGACAAGAATAAAAAATTGAGCATTGTCATGAATGACCATCTGAAGTGCTTCTCATATCTCTTCATGTGTGGAAGACAGAAGAGCCATGAAAATTGAAGATGCTTAGAATCAATTAATCCAATGACTAATGGATCCTGTGAACATCAGTGTCCATTTCTCTGAGACTAGAAGAACAGAAGTAGATGGTGTCCAGCTACAACTACTAACTGTTCTGAAAGGGATCACATTAGAAGGTCCTGGATAGAGTGGGAGACAGTGTGGAACAAAAGTCAAAATTATTTTTTTAAAAAAAGAGGGTCAGAGAAAAAGAGGAAGATCTCCAGCGAGATGGATTGGCAAAATGGCAGTATCAATGGGCTCAATTGTGGCAACAATTGTGAGGTTGGCCCAGGACCAGGCAGTGTTTCATTCTGTTGTGCATAGGGTTGCTATGAGTCGGTACCAACTCGATGGCACCTAACAACAACAACAACTGGTCTGTGACCTTTAGGTCTGGAAAGGAACTGGTCTTTGTGGGTGGACCAATTTCCATCCAAGTGGGTAGGTATATAGGGGGACAACAATACTGTGAGGTATACTCATCAAGGAATGATCAACTGTTCAAAATCAAAAGGACAACATTTATCTGGGGACATGTTTCAGAGGAATTGGGAAGGGGCAGGAGGGCGGGTACCACGGAGGAAATTGGAACAGCAGTGAGGAAGTGGAATAATTTGTTGCATGGAGGGGATTTTGATCATTAAGACGATGCAAATGTGTGATGTGTTGGATGTAAAACTGATGATCTGCTCTGTAAACCTTCACTCAATTCATAATATAAAGTTTTTATAAAGAAAAGAAAAAAAGTTGAACATTGGATATGGCAAGGTAGAGATCCTCTGAGACTCTGAGGAGAGTTTGATTTTGCTTATAAAAGTGTCTTTCTCCCTATCTGGCAGGTAAGTGCTCAATACATACTTATTCAGTGCACAAGTAGAAGAACTTGCCAATTGACCTGCCATGTTTTCTTCAAATAGAGTAGTCTTTTTTTTTTTTTTTTGTCTCCCTCAAGCCAATTCTGAGCAGATAAGACAGGAAGTATTTAAAAGGCAGAGCATTAAGATAGAAATGGATGTCCTTGGTATTTACTTACACTTATCACTCAAAAGTTTGGAAGAAAAAATTAGGAAAAGGCAAAAGAATTGAACACATATTTCATATGTGTTTAGGTTCCTCTGTTCAAGGGAAAAGTTGAATGTTTCTCAGGTTAAACTCTTAATTTTATTATGTTAAGAGTTTGTTGTTGTTGTTAACTGTCATTGAGTCAGTTCCGGCCCATAGCAACCCTGTTTAGGGTTTCCAAGGAGTGGCTGGTGAGTTTGAACCCCCCAACCTTGTGGTTCAAACCGACTTTGCAGTCCAGTGCTTTGTCCCACAGTGCCACACCAGGACTCCAGTTAAGAGTTTACATATTCTAAAAATGGGTCACTAAAAGTAAGTCCAAAAATTATCATGCTCTGTTCTAGGAAGGACATTTTCAACATAAAGAAATAAATGGAAACATGATGTTCATTTCATAGGGTTTTTAAGGAAATCAGTCAAAAGTGGAGAAAAGAAATTTGTGTTTCAAATTCTATTTAAAATGAGTAAAAATTACATGGTATACAAAAAGTTCTTTTCTGGTAAAGGAGATGCTTTCTTTCTGGTCTTAGGTACACACAATTAGTGTGTAGGTGGCAAAATTGATTATTCCTTATGCCTAGAGGCACTGACCTTTTCATCTGCTAGAGTTCTAATAAACATTAAACAACATTCAAGGATCATTCCTAAATGTAGCACATTCTGATGTTTAACATTTTCTTAATGTGTCTATTAGGAAAATGTGTTCAAGAGCAAAGATGTCAGTTTGAGGACTAAGTTGCCAACCTCACAATTGTTGCCATGCTTGAGCCCATTGATGTTGCCACTTTGCCAGTCCATCTTGCTGGGGGTCTTTCTCCAAGATGCATGGAGATCTCTAAGGGATATTGTACTTACAGATACTGAAAGAAGACAAGGACTTTTGTCCAAAGTCAACAAAGAGAGAAAGCCTTTGTCTTAGGCCAGTTTTGTAGAGAAGCAAAACCAGTGAAATATATATATATATATA